AAGGTCCCTTCCCATCCAAACCAGTCTGGGATTCTATGAAGGATGGGCTGGTGCAGTGTTTCCACACTGCTGTGGGTCATCCTGCACAGACCAGTGTTCATTCTGGTGTTGACTGGTTAAAACTTCTCTCCTTTCCCCCCTGGCAGGGGAAGGTGTTGGCACAACCTCCAGAAACGTTTCTTCTCTCCTTGTTCTCCAGGTGACCCTGGCGAAAATGCGCTCTCACGTCTCGTCCTGCGCGAAGGTGCAGGAGCAGATGGCCAACTGCCCCAAGTTTGTTCCAGTTGTCCCCACATCCCAGCCTATCCCCAGGTACTGCTGCACGTCGGGTATGGAAGCACATCCCTCCTTGCAGACTGCACCAGCATTCTCCTCCATCTTCATTAAAGGACGGGGGAGAGAGGTGGGAGTGGGTCTGTTCAACCAAGGACCAAGGGACAGGACAAGAGGAAATGGGCTCCAGTTGTGCCCAGGGCAGTTGAGATGGGATGTGAGGAAGAATTTCTTTGCTGAAAGGGTTCTGAGGCATTGGAAGGGGTTGCCCAGGGCAGTGGTGGAGTCCCCATCCCTGGAGGGATTGAAGAGTGGTGTAGACATAGTGCTGAGGGACATGGGTTAGTTGGGGACTTGTCAGTGTTGGGTTCATGGTTGGACTTGATGATCTTAAAGGGCTTTTCCAATCCAGGCCATTCTGGGATTCAGTAAATCGCTGCAATCCAAGCTGTGCTTTACTGTCTCCTGGGTAATCACAGCGAGAAGCATCAGCACCTTTTCCCTCCTTCCACCCACAGCCCTGGCTCTGCCCTGTGTTCTGGAGCGTGGTGTGGGGAGAACAACCCAAACCAGAGTGGTTCAGCCTGGGAATGGGCTTGGGCTGGTTTCCACCATGGGCAGGTGGCACAAAGCTGAGCAGGAGTGGCTGGGTTAGGTTGGAAGGAGTCAATCCAAACCCTTCCTGGAGGATCTGAGCTCATCCTTGCTCTCTTTAGCAATATTCCCAATCGCTCGACGTTTGTGTGCCCGTACTGTGGGGCCCGGAACTTGGACCAGCAGGAGCTGGTGAAGCACTGCATGGAGAACCACCGCAACGACCCCAACAAAGTGGTGAGTGATGATGGGATGGGCTGGTGCTGTGCAGGGGAACTCCATGGAAATCCAAATACGCTGGAGCTGATGCTGCATTTGAGGCCACCAGCGTGCAGAGCTGCTGTGTGTAAAGTACAGCTGTGCTTCCCGCTGCTTGAGCTTGTGTTAAATCCCTGTGAAAAAAGGTGAGGACCTGCCTCTCTTTGCTTTGTTAGAAGCTCTCTGGAACAAGCTGCCTCCATCCCCCTGTGCCTGCAACCCGGGTGGTGCAGGATTTTTCTCTCCACACCCCCTCTGGGTTGACCGAGGTGGGGAATGTGCAGCTCTGGCACCGTCTCAGAGGTGCTCACGTGTGCATGTAACTTGTCAGCGAGCTAAAAGCAGCCTGGGCCACGTGCCAGAGGCTCTGTGCACCAAGGGAGGTGTTTGGGGGTGCTGAGGGACCTCAGTTTAGCACATCCTCTGCACATCACCCTCTGGGAGACGGAGATGGAGGAGTCTGTGCCCACGAGTCATGGTTCCCTGTTGTCCCTGCCTGCTGCAGGTGTGCCCGGTCTGCTCAGCCATGCCCTGGGGGGACCCCAGCTACAAGAGCGCCAACTTTCTCCAGCACCTTCTCCACAGGCACAAATTCTCCTACGACACCTTTGTGGTGAGTACAGTCCTGAGCCAAAACAGAGTCATCGTCCCTGTGTCCTGTGCCGAGCAGCTGGGAGGTGAAACCAGCCCATGAGCAGCTGGGGGAACTGGGGGTGTTGAGCCTGGAGAAAAGGAGGCTGAGGGGAGACCTTCTGGCTCTGTGCAAGTCCCTTGGAGGAGGGTGGAGAGAGGTGGGGGTGGGTCTGTTCAACCAAGGACCAAGGGACAGGACAAGAGGAAATGGGCTCCAGTTGTGGCCAGGGCAGTTGAGATGGGATGTGAGGAAGAATTTCTTTGCTGAAAGGGTTCTGAGGCATTGGAAGGGGTTGCCCAGGGCAGTGGTGGAGTCCCCATCCCTGGAGAGATTGAAGAGTGGTGTAGACATAGTGCTGAGGGACATGGGTTAGTCATAGGGGACTGGTCAGTGTTGGGTTCATGGTTGGACTCGATGAGCTTAAAGGGCTTTTCCAACCAAACAATTCTGTGGTTCCCGTGCCAGGACCAGCCCAGCCCACTGTGCAGCCTCTCGGGAGGGGAAGGGGACGGATCCTCCTTTGGGATTTGTGGGAGGCACGTGTGTAGCCCCCCACTGGTGTGGGGCTGGGCCCCCTGCCTGCCCCAGGGCTGCTCGAGCTGGTCATTGTCAGACACAGCAGGAAAGTGTCTCTGAAGGAGGAGAGGGAAATGTTACTGCTCTCTGTGAAAATGGGTTATTTCTTCCATGTGCTCCATTAAACTCGTCCCCTGAGGAATTTTAACACAAAAACCCTTTTCTTTGAGGCTTCACAAGTGGTGGGAGGGGAACAGCCCAGCCTTGGGGTTTGGGGGGGATCCATGACCCCCCTCTTAGGGAGCTGCTGACCCCTCCTGTGTGGGGGTGAGGGTGTGATGGCCCAGCCTGGCTGCAGGGACTTTGGGGGAGGTTTTCTTAGCATCCTGCTTTTATTGCAGGGACAGTAGATGTCAGGGAAAGGAAACTCCAACTATTCACAGAGAAACATCCTCACTTAGAGAGCGATCTCTGTGTTGCATAAACCCAAAGTGGAGAAGCCTGTGACCTTGCTAGAGAGCTTTGCCCTGTGGCAACAGCTTCTTACATGGGTGTGTTTCATCCCTGCTCACTGCCAGGGCTTGATGTTGGCAGATTCCAGGTAGGAGAGGGACTGTGGGACACCCCAAAGAGCACACGGTGTTCCTGGGACCTGTGTGTCACAGGAGATGGAGGCTCACAGCCTCGGTGGCACGATAAGTGGTGGTGCCTCAGTGGCACCATTTTAAACTGAAAGAGGGGAGGTTTAGATGAGATATTAGGAAGAAGTTCTTCACTGTGAGGGTGGTCAGACACTGGAACAGGTTGCCCAAGGAAGTTGTGGATACCCCCTCCCTGGAAGTGTTGAAGGCCAGGTTGGATGAGGCTTTGAGCAACCTGGTCTAGTGGAAGGTGTCCCTGCTGCTGGCAGGGGGGTTGGGACTGGATGAGCTTTAAGGTCCCTTCCAATCCAAACCATTCTGTGATTCTATGATATGATTCTATGATAAGGAGCAGGAAGGGCTCTTTACCCTGCCCACCCACCTTGCTTGATGGAGACTGCGTGACCCAGCCGTGCCAGCTCTCCTGACACCCCCTCTTTGTTTTTAGGACTATAACATCGACGAGGAGGCGGCGTTGCAGGCTGCCCTGGCACTGTCACTCTCGGAGAACTGAGGGTGACCACGGAGCATCAGTTCGGACCCCCCCTCACACCCTGTTTCCTTTTGCACACTCAACCTTCCTGCCAGGGAGTCACAGAACTCGTCAACCCACCCCCAGAGACCTGCTGCTGCCTCATTCCTTCTCCTCTCTGGGCAAACCCCACCTTGTTTAAGAAGGTGGAGTGACTTTAGCATCGTGCTGGACCGGTGAGTGAGCAGAGATGTCGGCTGCTGGGAGGAGAGAGGAGTCAGCACCGAAGGGCTGGGATGGTTCCTCCATCAGGCATTTCATATCCGTATACAGAGTATATTCCTGTATCCAGATCTATTTATTCCTAGATGCTTTTTTGACACCATTTGTCTTCGTGCTCTCTCTGTTGCAATTGAATAGGTACGTAAAACTATGATGCATTTGGATGCAGAGACGCCCTCGTTTGAACTGAAATCATCCACCTCCTTTGGGAAAAGGAAGGAAACAGCACGGAGCATCTTTTTTTAAACTCTACAAACCTATTTCCAGAGATGTCTGTCTGTCCTGTCCCCCGTGCTGCAGGCAGGAGCTGCCTCCTTTACCTGCTACAGCACAAACCAGGCTGAATCCTGGGATGAGACAGTTGTCCTCATGTGTCCCGTGATGGCAGTGGGTTTGGAGGAGCCTGCAGGGACAGCATTTGGCATCCAGTGACACTCTCCCCTTCCTCGTTTTATACTGGCTCTTGTGATACCGAGTTCTTGCATTTTTCTACACGAATTGGTGTGATGCCTTTTCCACCTTTTATAGAGCGGGAACAGAAGCTTGTTACTCTTCACACTGCAATATCCGTCACCGTGGACAAGAGTATTTTTATGGAACATTATTAAGAAAGTCTATTTTTAAAAAAAAAAACCCAACCAAACCCAAACAAACAAACAAACATGCTGTGGATTTGAAACCAGGCAGGAGCCAGACCCTGGGTCAGCATGTGGGACTCTGCAGGGGCCGTGGGAAGCACATGGGTGTCCCCTTTGGTTATTTCTGGGCTGTCCCTGTCCCTTGTCGGTGTGTTTCTCCACAGGCAGATGGTGATGCAGGAGAGACCAGGTCAGAGCAGCACCTTGGTGACTGGAGAAGCTTTTTGAGGAGCAGCAGCCCTGCTTGTGTTCTCCAAGACATGAGGAGGTTCTCCTCACCCTCTCCAGGACATGTGGTCAGGCTTGGGGTGGCTCAGCCCTTGCAGACAGAGCTCCGTGCAGGATGTGGCCATGGGCAGAGCGTGATCCAGAGCTGCCCCTGCCCCTGCTCCCTGTGTGTGAGGGAGCAGCAGGGTTAGCTGTGACCTGCTGGTGCTGGATGTGGAGCAACTGGGTTGTGTCTGGGCGATGGGTGAGCAGGAGGGACGTGTGCCCGTGCAGGATCCCATCCCCAGCACTGAGCATCTTGTCCCACAGAAATAGGGGATTGCATCTTCCTTTCCCAGGTCTCTCTCCCTAGGAATAGGGCACATCTGGGCAGATGTTGATCTGAGAGATGCTCTGTCGTGTCCTCTTCCTCTCTACCCTGCCTGCTGCTGCTGCTGCAGTTTGCTCTGCTGGGCTGGGAGAGGGTGGAAGGGAGATCTTCTCTGCCAAGCCTTGGGTGGGCTGCTGCCAGCCTGAGCACGGCCACCCTGTGCATCTGTCCCAGCAGAAGGGTCGTTACTGGGACCCTGGGAGAGCAATCCTGCGTGTCCCTGCTCGGAGAAATGCCCTTCTGTGGTTTATCCGAGCCCTGGCTCCAGCTCCAGCTCTGCTCTAGCAATACTGTCTTGTTTTTTACTTTGATCTAAAGTAGTCCTGGGTGGTTTTGGGGGCTGTGAGTTCCCCTGTGCCACCAGCAGCCCTAGGAGGAGCGTGCAGAGACCCTCCACTCCCCTCCCTGAGCCAGGCTAGTGAGGAGGGATGAGCTCTTCCCTTACCAGCGTGGCATGGCTGGCACCTTCCCAGCCCTGGGGATGTCCCTGGTGGGACAGAGAGCACTGGCATCTCCCAAAAGAGACCCAGGAGTGTTTCCTTGTCCCATCCTCAGCTGGGACCCTCAGCTCCTGGATCATCCTCCAGCAGAGCTCTCACTTGCAGGGAGCTCCCTGCCTCTGGGACAGCGCTATTAACCTCTCTGTCTCCTTCCTTCCTCCTCCTCCTCTTCTTCCTCCTTTTTGCCCCAAAACGCCAGAGCAGGGGCAGCAACAGCTGCTTTTTGTGAAGCACTTTAAGGTGTGGGCTGTGAGGGGGCAGCTCCTGCCTCTCCCCACTTCCCACGGGCTCAGCTCCGGTTCTGCCGGCCGGGCTGTGCCACCGGCCACGCTCGTCGGTCTGTTTGTTCCCCACCACTTTTTGCATAATTAGAACTTTTAATGAGACATACTGGGGTTTTTTTTTTGTTTGTTTGTTTGTTTTGAAGAAGAAGAAAATCAATGATGTTATTTGTAGCAAGCCATTTTTCTCAAATAAAGGCAGTTTCATCCACGGGCTGTGCTGTCTCTGCCACGGCTCCTCCGGCGGGTGGGACGTGACCGGGGGTGGGTGCCCCCCACCCTGCCTTATCTGGGCTGCTTCTTCCCCAAATTCAGGGGTTTGCAGCTTTGTCCCTGACTTGTCAGGTCCTGTTAACGGCGGCGGTGCCACCGCGGGGTTTGGCAATGCCATTTCGTCACCCTGTGCCTCCTCCCTGGCCTGGGCTCACTCAGATGGAGCCTTTCACAACCTGCTGGCCTTGTGCCCCCCAAAACAAGGGAGCTGGTGGCCTTTTGGGCTGTGTGGCCATGGTGACATGCTAGGGTCTGGCTTGGCCAAGTGGGGGTGAGGTGACAGAGACCATGGGGATGTGGACACCCCACAAGTGGCCCTGAGCATCCCAGCAGTG